CCCCCCCCCCCCCCCCCCCCCCCCCTTTCCCTTTTTCACTGTCTGTCTAACAAGTGTTCTCAGCTTAGGAGAGACCGATATTCGATAACGTTTCCGGAGCGACGAAAGTGTGACCTGGATCAGGTGTTGCTCGGCCCCATACCATCCGGTCAACAATCCAAGCCACCTATAACCGCTCCTACTTCTACTCCTCTATTGGCGATCGAGTCGATTGAGGAGTTACCCTCATCAAATGAAGATACTACCCCGATGATCGGGCCTCAAGAATCTCCTAAGGCCATTCCTCATGGGCCTAAAAGTACGCAGCGGGAAGGAGTTTTGCATCGCACCAGGTGTCTTTTGCTAGGTATAGCAAAATGTGCTAGGAGTGCAGCAACAGATTTTGTCCGTCCATGACTGGCAGTATTGATAGCTCACACATGGTTGTCCAGGAAAGTGGAAGAAAGAAAAGAGGGGATTTAAGGGAAGAGTTGAAATCATACGCTGACACCCGGTTGTGGACATCCGCCCGCTAAAGGTTCCGTTCCGATCTCGGGAGGATGTTGAGCCTCAAGCCGCAGTGAGAAGTGCCTCCTTTCCCTGTTCCTTTAAAGTCTGTCTCACAGCCTTCAACACAACGTGGTGGACGCTTCTTGGCGCGGCCACAAATCCAAAGTTCCCAGTCAGCTTCCTCCCCTTTGTCAGATCAATCTCCTTTCCATCAACATCCGTAATCATGCCACCAACTTCCTCAAAGAGAAGCATAGCACCGGCATGATCCCAGATCTTCGCATATCTATCACGTCTCTTGTAGACCCAGACCGTCATGTTCGCCAACCCAAGGGCCAGGGTCACCCACCTCGGCACCCACCCAAGCAGGTCGGAACCTGGGAACTCGACACCGAGCCTCTCGGTAGCCGCCTTGTGTGCATCGTCCACGCCCGATCCTGGAGTATTCCAGCATGATACCGACCTCAGCCCGGAAACAGTAACGCCATCCGCATGTCTTTTCAGCGACTCTGAAGCGCACATGGTCAAACCAGAACCCTGTCCGACAAACAAGGGCCTCACGTACGCCCCAAAACCTCGAACCGCATACACGATACACCCTTCCTCGCCATCTTCATCATCATCGCCCTTGAACACGCTCGCATTGCCCACCGGTGCCGTCGCCTTCCTGCTCAGCAACGGACACGCCACCACGCTGAGAATTTGCTTCCCACCCTCGAGCAGCGCAACATTGATAGCATACTGCTCACCACACACAAAGGTTTTGGTGCCGTCAATCGGATCAAAGACCCACGTCCGTCCCGAGTCGGCACCCAGTCCGTCCTTGCCACCATCGCCGCACCGGTCGACGAGCTCGCACACCTGATCCTTGCTTTCAGGCGCACCCCGCTTCACCACTTCAGCAATCACAGCATGCGACTCATTCTTGTCGTTGCTGGACGAGGAGACCTCGTCAACGCACTCGTGAATGACATCATACACGCGCTGCAGCAGGTCGGGGTTGTCGCGCAGGGCGGCAGCGGACTCCTCGCCTACGAAGCTATCGGTGGGAAAGGAGGAGGAGAGGACCTTGGTGAGGTAGGCCTGGATGGCAAAGTCGGCTACGGTGACGGGAGAGAGGTCTTCGGCTTTCTCGATGGTCCCCTTGTTGGCGGATGCCAGGACGTGTTTGGAGATGCGGGTGGCAAGTTGGATAGTTGGGATGGCGATGGAGATTTCTGTTGCGTATGGCGTATCCATTTTGTATTGTATATGTTTTCGTGCTTTTTTATCTATGTAGAACAGAAGTCCTTTAGAGTGACAAGGGACATATGGCTCAAGCTGGGTGATGACGGGAGTGGTGTATTGTTGCTATCGTATGAGATGATACAAATTACTGAGCGAGGTTGAAATTGGGTAGAGCGCTTACGCATTGAGGCCCCACTCTTAATAACTGCTGTGCTCCTGCCCGTTATACTGGAAACTGGCTCTGGAATGGGAACATCACCTGACTCAAACAAGGATCGGGGCTGCCACTAGCTAGGAATCAAGCACAACAACTCGATCGAACACAGAAGGCGCACCAACTTCTCAGTGAGTTCCGAATTTCTCATTTTTTCCTCATTGTGCCACCGCCATCTGCGGCTAGTGAATTCCTCACATGAGGCAGCAAGGATGGAAACTACAAGGAAGTTCTAAAGACATAAGAAACGTCACGTCTTCTCTTTCAACGGTTCAAGCCCACATCCTCATGATTGTGTGCCAAAGTAGACGGTTATAGCATTAAAATCATATTCTAAGTTATCCAAGGAAACCGTAAGTGATATAGGTACAAGCAATAGACTATTAAATGACAATGAGTGAAAATGGTTCAACTTTTCCTGGGTTCCGAAGGTCGAACGGGCAACTGTCCTCTGCGGACTACCGACGCCGTGGCAGGTAGAGAGACAGGGGCAATACACGGACAAACAAGAGTGAGGGTGGTGTGTGTATGGGGAGGGTGACATGTATTAGGTATTGACAGCGTATGTCTTCTTTTAACATCCTCGCTAGCAAGACGCGGTCCTAAAGAGTCCGCCTAGCAAAGGACATTGTCATGACCATCTAGGACGTGACGTCGTAAACCATAACAGTCGTGAAAGCCCGTCAGCCAGCCCTTCTCAACCGGCCCTTTCCTCTCTACGTCATCCCAACCTTCAGGCCTGCAAGACCGTGTATACCTGAAGACCAAGACTTTCAGCAAATCGAAAAGTGAGCAAGCTTGCTAAGGCCTGACCAGGCCATTGGCGTAAGTGGTTGCCCATATAGCTGTAAAAAATAAATAGATATAAAAAAAAAAAAAAACCTTGTATCCCAAAATCTCTCATCTCTCCCGTGTCTTCTCTTTTTTTGTGGTATCCGATCATCGTCATCATTTCGGGTATATGCAGGCTCATAAACCGAGGAATTGTTGCCCGAATCCTCTGAACCAAAGCCAATGCAAGGCGTCAAAAACCAAAACCATGGTCTTTTGAGCATTTGGAAAGTCCACCACATGCTATCCGAGACCAGCAGCGCAACAGGCGCTTGCAAAGAAAGCCAAAATCTCAAAAAAGCCCATCCGATACGCTAGATGGTGGCCAGATGCAAAGATATTACAAGTCGCTTTAAAGATTGGTGATAAAAGGGAGGTGGAGCGCCCATGTCGTCGGTAAGGCAAATTAGGAATGCCGCGCTTTCTCCAGAAAGGCATTTGAAACACCGATCAAGAAGTTGTTGTCCGTCATCTCAGCTTGCAATCAAAAGACTCATAGTTGAAATCGTGTCGGATACCCCAGGACCAACACTTTTCAAAAGCAAGCGTGTGACGCTGAGGAGGACGACGAGACGGCCGCCGTAGACGCATTTGGAACTGATGTTGAGGCTTGAACTTTGGGATCTGAGGCCCGGGAGACGTTGAATCATGCCGATGCAAATAGTAAGAGATGGACCAAAAGGTTAGAGGATGCCGATATCGCAAAACAACTGCCACATCAAGATCCATCAATTGATGATTTGTTAGTAAACGAGGCGGTGGGCGGAGCTTTAGCGGCCCCGATTGGAGAGGCCTCGTCTCAGCAGATCAACGACATCCAACTACCGCTGCATGGTAAGACAATGCATGGGCCCAAAGGTTAGAAAAGTGGCAGCTCCGCCAAAGAGGCCATAAATCAGACATCACAAAATGGTCTTCCGTGAGCATTGCCAAGGCGGCGGAGAGCTTGTTTCTAGATTCCAATCCTACTGGAATCTTGAAGAGGTGGACGTTGCCGCTCCGCGCGTACCATTTTCGGACGAATCTGTTGTTTAGTTGTCAGTAATGATTATCTCGGAAAGATCAAGACAGAAAGGCTCTAGACTTACCACTGTCACGCTGCATGTGACCGTTGGTGCGTCCCCGTCCGGCAAAGCCGATGCTCTCACCCCAGTCACCACTGCTCGGTCCATGAGGTTGACGCTCCGGAACGCTGCGAGTGCTGTTTCCATTCAAAGGAGAGCGTTGGCTCCCAATTGCGCCAGGAGTCTCTCTGGGCCTGAGGCGGTTGGCGTTGAAGGGCTCGCTCAGCGACAGGGAACCAAGATCCGAAATCAATAGTGAAGTGTCCTTGTTGGAAGCTGCTCCAGGTGTGGTTGGCGTGGTCATTACGCTGTTAGGTCCACCGAGGCTGGCGCTATACTCGCCATACTGAGCAATGCTGGAGCTGTGAAGGCTGCTCTGTGGGAAACCAGAAGCTGAGAGCGAAGGGCTGGGTGTATATGATCGCAGATCCGCGAAGGACTTGACACCGCGTAACGCGTTGATGCCGCCATCGGGGCTGTCAGGAAGCTCCAGAGTCGGGCCGTGTCTACCCTGTCTACCCAAGGTAGCAAACTGACCCGGAGCATTGGCACGGGACTCGGCAAAATCAATGGTGGCGGCACGGCTAAGACCACGACGGTGAGCATCAGCCGACACACCAGGGGAGATGTGCATAGGAGGCGCCATGCTCGCCAAGGTGGCAGTGGCCGTGTCCTTGATGACGTGCAACTGGCGGGTAGGACCTTCGCCAACTGAACGATGCTCAAGACCCATGTTGTGAGCCAAAATGTGAACGGTACGACGCTGCTGGGGGGTAATGCTGGCAGGGAAGATGATGATCTCACGGTTGGGATCATTTCGGAAGAGAGTCAACTCGGTATAAAACTTGAGAGTTTCGGGGTTGTTGAGGTCAACATCTCCTGTAACATCATCCTGGTTAGAGTTTGGCGGCAAAAGATCGCGGCGAGACGACTTACGCAACGGCGAGTTGCGAGACCTGCTAGTGTGAGCGGCATTCAAGGAGTGCATGGAAGACTGGGAGTGCAGGGCAATGGGCTGGTGTTGCTCCTCCAGTTGGCCGCGCTTCTCCCTCTTCTCGCGCTCGATGCGCTCTCTCTCGTGCTCAGGGAGCATCTTTTTGTACTCCACCCTCAACTTTCTGCCTTGAACCTCGTAACCATTAAGCTGCTCGATGACGGTCTGGGTATCCAGGGGGCTTTGAAAGTTGGCAAAGGCAAGACCACGGAAAATGCCGTTATCAAAGTGGTAGTTGAAGGCATAAGGCTGGGGAAGGCCAAGGTCGGTCATGATTTGGGTAAGCATCTCCTTCCTCACGTTGAAAGGAATGTTCTTGATGACAATGGCGGTAGGGATGAGGTCGCTGCCGAGGGTCTTGGAATCGTGGCGAGGGTCGTACATGCTGCCGGGATAGCCATGGCGGTCACCTGCGAAGTTGCCATCACCGTTCAGAAGACCCACGGACTGGCCAAAAGTGGAAGAGTACTGTGTCGAAGGGGTGTTGAGAGCATGGCTTCCAAGGCCATTTTGTTCGGACATCCATTCCTAAAAACAAGCGACAGAACCACGGTCAGCAAACATGCATCGTACATACATGGCAGGTAGTGAGAAAGATAGCGGATAGGAGAAAGGGGCAGGGAGAAAAGGGTTGGTGATGGTGCTAGATGTGCTGTAGACTAAAGATGAAACGAACCGTGGGGAGAGCCCGACGACCGCCATTGCGCACCCTATTGTCGCCCAAAGCGCCATTCACAGTGTTTGCGCCGGCGTTATAAGCCCAAGCCTGGTTGTTTCCATTGAAGCTGTCGGTCGCGAAGGCAGCAGCGGGTTGTAGCCTGTTGTGTCGGAAGGCGGCGTTGTCGTAGGAAGCGAAGCGATCGTCGGCGGCGGCGGCGGCGAAGAGGGCAGCAGAAGGCTGGCCGATGGCCTCCATCTGCCGCTGTGTCATGCGACTTACGCCCGTGAGGCCGACGGCGGTGTTGTAGCCCGGCCGCGAAGAGCCGGGGGAGCGGTTCGCGTTGTTCATGGGGTAGGCGGAGGGAAAGTAGCCCGAGATGTCTGGCTGTGGATTCATCTTTTTCTTTCTCCTTTTTGTTTTCCTTGGGGTTCCTCCAAGCAGAGTTGTTGTGAGGAGGCGGCCGAGACAGCTGGTGCGGAAGAGAGACCAGCACAGACCAGCAAAACCAAGCCCGGACTTTAGAAAATCTCCAAAGGTTGTTGTTGTTGACCTGACTGACTCCGGGGAAGGTGGTCGAGAAAAGAGGGCCGAAGGGGGTGGTAGCTTCGGACGAAAAGACACGGACACGGACTGGACCGAGACTGGACGATACTGGATTTAAGGCCAGGCGGTTGGGAGTTGGGGTTAGACTGATGTTGATCGGACCAGGAAGCGCCGCGTTCTGCGAAACAAGCGCTGGGCGTGCAGACGGTGCAGGTGTCAGGGAGACAGACGGGGAGGCACCGGAGGTTATAGGGAGACAGGACAAACTGGCGAGCAGCTGAAGCCAGGTTTTTTTCTGTGCTGGTGCAATGCCAGGCCTGGCGGATGCGGATGGGCGGAACTCGATTGCAGATTTCTCGTAGAGTGGAGAGGGGCGTGATTTTCCAATGACGCGGAAGAGGGCCGCTGCAGCTTCCCAGCAAGTGTGGAAGTGGAAATGGACGAGTGGACGACGCCGGCAGACCAGACGAGAGGGAAATCTTTATGTAGGATGGAGAGCCCCCCTACTAAAGAGCGGAAGTTTAAAAAAAGTTTATAAAAAAGAAAAAAAGAAAAAGGGAATCGCCGAAAATCCACAACTGTGCACCGCGGAACAATGCACGAGCTCGACTCGGGCAACTGGTCTAAACAAACAAAAAAGGCAGCAACTCCAGGCAACGGGCCGTAACCAGATCGAGTGTTGCCAGACGCAACAACGGTTGTTGTGTACCTAGATATGCGTGGTGTATGCGTGTGCGCGCGCGCGTGTGAGTGCGCTTGATGTCTGCAATGATCGTTCACGTCGTCCCGTCTAAGTAGATGGCTCTATACGTTGTTATCGTCGAACAGTCGTAACAACGTCGGTCGAAGTTGTTGTTGTTGTTGTTGTGCTTGTAGTTGTAGTATAGTAGCGATGTTGACAATGGTGACGATGATGCTGACGGTAACGTTGGTTGGTCGGATCCAAGAGCTCCAACAGGACGGGAGAGGGGGGACAAGGAGAATAAACGTATATACGTAGTGTGGTGAATGGTGAGTTGGAGATGGACCCGACGGGGAGTTCCAGGTTTCTTGGATCGGGTACGGTACGACGCCGAAATGTAAAGAGAAGCGGGGGGGTCCGTGGATATGAATGGGCGGCAATGCCGACAAGAAAGACGGACGAGGAGAAGCAATCCAAGCACACTAGAGGTAGTAGCGTACCTAGGTAGGTAGTGAATGAAAAGAACAGAGGAATTTAAATCGATCGGTGCTAACTAACGAAATTTCCTTGATGTCCTTCTTGCAGGCGCACCTGCTTTTGTTTTTGGAATTCGGAGGCAACTTGTCTTGATGCCGGGCTATGGAGCTCGTACTTACCTGTTCGACGGTGGGACAGTGACGAGGGACCCGGCGAGGACCCTGACGAGGGGGAAAGTTCAAATCCCGTCTAAGTTTATTCTGCCACACTAGTGAGGATAAGGTAAGGTCTCAACTCGACTACCTTCCTGCTCGTTTCTGTCAATCTTAACAGCGCTCAACTACACTGTAACTTCACGCCTGGAAGAATGCTTTTAATGCGAATGCACGCCCTGCAGCACTGCAGCCCGAAAATTGACTTAACAAAAAAAAAAAAAAAAAAAAAAAACCAAAAAGAAACAAAAAGAAAACGAAACACCAAAGAAAGGCAGACGGGATATGTGGCAGCGCAGCGGCCCCTACCGTGCGTGCCTTGCGTGAGTGCGTGCACCTGGAAGGTCCAGCCAGATAGCCCCCCCCCCCATGAATAAGGGACAACAACCTGCGGTCTGATGATCCCCAATACTTCTTTTTCTGTACAGACACGGGGATCCACCACAGTGGACCCATCTGTCTTGCGCTAGAAGGATGGACTGCCGCCTTGGCGCCTCCTGGGGCGGCTGCCCTCCCGCCATCCGCCGGGCATCACCCAGCATGCGTGTTATCCAATCGCTTTCTTCATTTAGGTTGCGCTCCCGCTAATCTTGTCAATCACTCGCGGAACACTTGCGATGCCCATCACCACGCGTGCCTCATCAAAGACACCATGCTGTCCATCACGGCCCATCTGTATCGTCCCGAATTATGAGCACGCTACAGAGAACTCGCATTGTTCTTCGGGACTGACGGCCTTGTCCTGGGTCAAGTGGCATACAACAGGCACTACCCGGCAATCCGTGTAGGTGGAGGCATCCACTTCTTATAAAGACTGTTATTGCACTATCAGTTTCATCACCCTTTCCATGCAAAATCAGTTTCCTTCCTATCTACCTGTGCCCCTTGTTCCTTTCTTGCCTTCCCCCTCTTGCCCCCTGTCGTACAAGGCTATCGAAGCTCCCTAGCAGGTCGGACTCAATGGGATGCGCTCCCAAAGTTGCCAGAGGCAAGAATCCCACATAACGGCCGGGCTCTCTCCTCTTCTGTCTCGCTCAGTCTGCAACTGCGTACGGCTAGCGGCTACAGGAGATGCGAACCTACTGGCATCGTGTGCGCGGATATCACCATGATGAGACGGAGTCCATCTGGGGCCTAAACCCCTGGGCGATCGAGCTCTTGTGGAGGCACCTTGAGATTATTCTCGTTTATTTTGGGCTTCTCCTGTCGCTGCTTTGTTGCTCTTTGTTAGGCCCTTGGCCTGAAGAGGCAACAAGGCTCCAGAAAGGTGAAAGGGGGGAAATCGCCATGTAACGCTAAGCACGACAGCCAAGATTCGCGACGACGAGGTCTTACCGGGGTGATGAGGAGCCAGAGCCCAGCGACTTCTCAAAGAAGCTTCCATTCGATCCATGGCTATGGAGCCGTACACATGGCCCTGCTATGTACTTGCGAGTCTTGGTGCTACTGCGTACATAATATAGGGTGTACCACGCTGGAGATGCCACGATCCCGCCTTTTGGTTTCTTCTCCACACCCGAATCGGCTACCGTCCCCTAAATTCTAGCGAGCAACCGGTGCAACGCCGTTTTGTTTATCACAGGGTCGATATTGGGGGACAGTTAGGAGCGTGTATCACCGGTGTCAAGGACCTTGCCCCCGTCGGCCGCCTCACGCTCACCGCGCATTCATTGACTCGCTGTGGCGTGCCTTCTGCGAGAAATCTCCCACAGATCTGTGTTTCTGACCTAACCGGTCACCCGGTCTTTCTTGTCCGTCCTCCCGGGACCGGGGATCCATTGCCGAGTGGGGTCATGCTGGCCGGGCCCCTGACAATCGAGTCCTGACGCCCTCGCAAGAGATTGCAAGCCAAGCGGTGCTCCTGCTGAGATGGTGAAAAAGGGGCTATAATCAAGACTCATGAAGAGGAGAACACTATTGCTGGACGAGATAGATTAATATGCCATCGTGGGGTCACGCTTGGCAACGCTTGGCCATGGCTTCATGGCTGCCTAACCGGGAGAAAATGTGGGCTATTTTTGAGACAGAGATGGTTTATAGGTTGCAGCAACCTGGAATATGGAACGTCACTGTATTTTACGGACACAGTCATTGTTGTGACTGTTGCCAGGAGTTCAGGCTTCGATATCGCGGTGCGGCCGAAACATGGAGTCAAGAATGATAGCAACGACAATACTTTTCTTATGTCCACGCCATATGCTGGCTGACCGCTCGTTTGCAGAAAAATTGGTTTGCAATGATCCCCAGTTCAGAAATGAGTTTAAGAATTAAATGCTACATGTAACCGTAAAACGGGACGCTATTAGTACTCAAGTTGTTGAAGCGGTCAACAACAACACTCGAGACTGACTTTGAAGCAAAAAGAAGACATGGTAGAAAAGCACCGGTCGGAACGGAAATATTCTGGCGTCGTACGCAGGTCGGCTCTTTAGCCCTGTGCCTGACGTTTTTAATCTGGGCTTGTGGGGATAGGGGACAGACACCCTTGACGATTTTGGCCCCCTTTTCATACCCCATGCCGGGTTGCTCTGTAATGCTGTTATTGCCTCCGGCGGCCGTCCGCCTGCTCCCGCCAGATGACCGAATCCGCTAGGCCTGTCCCGACGGTGTCGTCCCAGAGCGTTTGGTTTACCACTCTTGACTATTCCTCCCTTTGCGCCTCAATTCCTCATCATTGACGGCCTGGAACCGCTGGTTCGAGAAACAGAGTTGGCTCGATGATTGACGACATGTGTTGTGAGCGGTGCCACTGCACCAGCTCTATTGCCTCACTTAATACGTCGAGATGTTTCCCAGCCCAGTTTCCAGACAACTATAGTCACCTAATAGACCTTTTCACCCCGCCGCCTCCCTCCGTCGTGTTTGATGACGGAAGGTACGGAAAACCTTGGATGCAGATAGATGCCCCTGACTATTGGTCACGGAAAGAGGCAAAACCCCGGGTTCCCAAGGATAAAAATATATGGTCTCTTATCGACAGCCGCATTGAGAAACCACCGTGATTGAGGCAGGTGGCTTGGGTCCAATCATAGTCAGCCTCTCCGTCAGGCGAGGACTTCGACGGCGGCCAAAATACCGGTCGATACCGGATCCTCTTGGAGGTTGATGATGCTACAAGTTCTGATGCTTCCATTAGTTGGTGATCCCTAACTGATCTCGGCTCTTCTGGCAAACAGCCGGCAAGACAGGGCGATGCTTAGTTTGTTGCAGCGAAGAGAGAGGCATGCGCAACGCACGTCGCAACCCACTCTTCAGTTATTGTTCACAGACGGGCTCTCATTGGCGCTTGCTCGTTTCTGCGCCAAGACCAGTTTATTGACGACGACTGGACGGCCAACCTTTTTTTTGTTCCAGACACGCTGCTTTTTGAGGGATGAGGAGGACCGCCCGGTGAATCAGGAATGCGAATGGGCATCGCTTCTTTCACATATCAGAAACGACTCGAACGGGCCGTGCAGCCCGCGAAACATACGTAATGTAGAACCAATCATGTCTTATAATAAGTCTGCACCGTCTCGCGACTCTGCGGTCGGCCGTTGGCATATTTTCCTTTTTATTAGTTGGTTGATCCTGTACCTCACTCACAAGTTCCAACCGCATGCCAACTGCTTGTCTGTCGCAGCGCAACGGCCGGTGGTCTCCGAGCGAGAGCTTCCATTAGCAAGAGTGTCGTCCAAACTTGATGCGCAATAACAGACTGCGTTGCACCACGTTGGACAAACATGTTGCATAGGTAGATTTGGAAAGTCTCACAAAAGCCTGGCCACCAGGTAGCGAAGGCCTAGGTATAACGTTTTGAGACATTGGGACGAGGAAGGCTGACTGTCCATCCCGTCTATACCCCGCATTACGGTGTGACGCCAGTGCTTCACCTTACCGGCCGATCCCGTTGCAAGCAACCCCGCACGTGTCCCGCTCCGTACCGCAGTCCGTCAATCCGTCCGAAAAGGATGGGGCTTCCTGACCGGGGGCGGTAGAAACTGTGGAGCCTTCTACGTCAAAAGTCCACTGCGGTATCGCGAGCTTCACGACTGATGTAATTACTGTAATTTTCAGATATGCACAACTATTGATACTATAGGCCCCTGTGTATAAGTGGTGATTTAGCGGAGGCCTCTCACCAGCCTACTCTATCCCAGGGTGAACCCTAACCCTAGCTCACCCTACTTATTTGTAACAAACCTTTACTCCGACCTCTTAGTTAGCTCGCAGAACATTATATAGTCTAGTATGTGTTTTAGTAATTTACTTCTATACCCGCTTGCAATGGAAATGAACAAGAATTCTCTTTGTTTGTCTAAACATGGTTGTGACGAACCAGTCTGCCGCTCCCGGTAGGAATCGCCGAAGGGATGCCCGGCCACGACGAGCGGGACCCCTCCGCCGACCCGCCCCACCTTCCCCAGATTGACCGCAGCATGCATCCCGCCTGCCGTCATCGAACCAGCTCGAACTTATTCAATCACCTAATCAGCGTAGATTTGCACCATCCGTCCTTGACCACTTATCTCTCACTAGGTACACTTGGACCTTGCTGAACATCCATTTGAAACCAAAGAATAAATAAAGCAACAACAATCACAATAGCAAAAACTGAAAACAAGATGGCAGTTTTCTCGCTCCCGTCCGGACGGACCATCTCGTACGAGCTCACTTACTCCAATGAACCCACCCGACCCACCGTCCTCCTCTCCAACTCGCTCGCCTCCCAATACCACTTTTGGGACCACATCGTAGAACGCCTCCACGACGCCGGATATCGCGTTCTGCGCTATGATCACCCTGGTCACGGCGCCTCTGGCGTGCCCGACAATCTCTCATCCACCACTTTTGCCTCTCTTGCCGAAGACGTCTACGCCCTTCTAACCAGCCCAGACGTCGCCACTGCCTTCCACGGCCACCACTCCCCAGATGCCGCTTTCACCCCTTCACTACACGCCTGGATCGGCGTCTCCATGGGTGCTGCCCTAGGCGTCGTCTTCAGCAGTCGCTACCCTGGCGTCGTCCAGAGACTCGTCATCTGCGACACCATCTCTGCTTCACCCAAGAACGCCGGCATGTCTGATGCGTTGGGACCCCGTGTGGCTGCCGCCAGAGAGCACGGATCCATGGAGAAGGCCGTGGCCGAGACTATGGACCGCTGGTTTGGACAAGACTGGATCAAGGCCAACCCAGCCGAGGCGGAGCGTGTGCACACATTGATGAAGCAGACCAGCCTTGATGGCTTCGAGACCTGTATTGCCGCCCTTAGGTCGGATTCGTTCAATATACGACCCTTGATATCTGGGCTTGGAAACTGTGTCCAGCGTGTGCTATTTGTGGTTGGCGAGAAGGATGCCGATCTACCCGAGAAGATGAAGGAGCTGCGGGATGCTTGCCCGGAAAACCTGGAAGCTGAACTTAAGGTCATCCCAATTGCTGGGCATGTGTCCTTTATTGACGGGAAGGAGGACTTTTTGAAGGCTGTGATGCCATTCTTGGGCGAGAACTAGAGGGTCACTGCCGGACAGTGGGAACATCTGGTGCTAATGGCGGCTGCAGTGGCTCGAGTTTGGTGATAGAACCGTGATAGCGCTGGACTTCCCAAAATCCGAACCACCATGTTACTCCGGCATCACAATTTTGAGCAAAGTGGAAAGGCTGACGACGAGCATATGATACAGACTTAGAGATAGCACAGAAACGACAAAGCTAATTAAAATTACTCTACAGAACCCATCCCAGTACGTGTCAAACCAGGCGTGCCAAGTTGCTTCGTTTCATGGGAGCGGTCTATACTGCCCCGGTGGCGCCGTTCATCTTTGCTGACTGATCTGCTCAGAGGCGCATTGTCAGAAGCCCTCCTTTCATTCCAGTTCATTGGCTGAAGCCGAGTCTTTGTCTCTTCTTTTTTTTTTGTCGTTTCTGCTTGACGGTCCGCGTGGAAGTTCCCCATGTTCCGCGTGGCGCACCTTTCAAAAAAAAAAGAAAAAAGAAAAATGTCGAGACAAAGAACACACTCGAGCAGCGAGGTCTATTTCTGTTGGACATGCGCCATCCCAGAGCTTCTTTGATCACTACCCATTATGCAACCTGGAAGCTCACAAGAAGAGCATCATATAATCAATATTCCGGACGTTCTGACTCGGGAATCCTTATGTTGTCAGCTCTACGCTACCTGTTAGAAATCTGAGCGGCCCTCCTCCAACCTTTTTCACTGCATCCCCGGTTTTCATCGCATCTGGCTATAGTCTGATTCTTAGTCCTGCCGTTACCAACAGGCTGGATACTGTAGTTATTTTTGCTCCTCCGATTTGTCCATCGACTGTTTATTGTTTCTGTTGGTCAATACAATTCAACAGCCCATTCTGCACAACACTTGGAGAAAACGCTTCTTTCCGTGCTTTCAACCAACAAGCTCGCCAATCCTCTTTCTATTCCTTATAGACCTTCAAACCCACAAACTCAACGAGCGCTCAACTCAACAAGGACAGACAACAGTTCAAACAAAATGCCCTCTAACCCTAATGCAAAGGCAAAGCCACCCAGGCTCGTCCTCTTCGACATCATCCCAGAGCTAACCATTGTCACCGGCTCTATCTCAGAGATGATCAACTCCCCCACAAAAGTCAAGCCTCAAAACAGTCCCAACTCGCCCATCACCGATACTTTTGATGGTAGTGGCACCACCACCACCAACAACAACGACACAACCAAAATTTCACCAACTCAGCCGTCACCCACTAGTCCAACCACCAACAGAAGCACGCCATCAAGCAGCAATACCCAAAAGTCTCCAACACCACCAACAACGCCGCCCATGCTCTCGCCTCCCGCTCCCTACCCCTGGCTGTGGTCCTGTCACTCCTGCCGGTCTGTATACCGGCTAGCCTGCACGAGGAGATGCCTGGAGTGTGGACATGTCTTTTGCTGTTTAATGCCTGCCATTAATCAAAAGGAATCTGAAGAGAGAGACAAGAATGGAAAGAAAAGAAAGCGAAGCGGAAGTGGCAGAAAAGGAGGAGGGCCGTGTACCGCCGAGTTTGATTACCTGGGTTGGTCGGCGTGGGGAAGCTATCGACGGAGTGTGACGGGTGCTGCTGCCAGGCGTGCTTTGACAGTTGGTGGTGGTGATGATGATGATAATAGTGGAAAGAAGAAGTTGGGATCGAGTGGAAAGAGGAGATTCACCAGCGTTTCTCTCTCTCCTCGTCCCTCCCTTTCTTCCAGCTCTAACAACAAAGATACCACCACCACCTCTGACTCCGACTCATCCCAATCTGCCAATGACAAAGTCGCCGCCGCTCGCCTCCAAGACTTTGCAACATGGCATCTCATCCCCGTCCCCCCCTTAGACTCATCTTCAAGTCCGTCTTCATCTTCACCCCTAGGCCCAGGCTCAAAATCGCCTAGAGCTACAACCCTAGCCTGGCATCACGTCTCTGAGCGCGAGACCCGCTCCATCGCCCGGGCCAAAGAAAAGATGTACGTCGAACGCACCCACAACTGCTGGTCTCACTGCGACTATCCGTCCGAGTGTCGACAGACTGTCATCGCTGCGTGCGAAGAAGGTCGTGCCAAGATTGACAGAAAGGCCAAAAAATTGGTGTGGGTGAATGATAGGGAGAAGGACGCCATCGAGGCTCGGAGGCGTAAGGAAAGGGAGAGGGAGAGGGAGACTATGAAGAAGGCGTTGGGAGCGAGGAGGAGTAGGAGTGGACAAGAAGAAAGGGAGAGGAGGATGGGTGGACAGAGAAGTAGTGGGAGGAAGGGAAGGGGACACGGGGGAAATGGGAGTGGGAGTGTCCGGGAGAAAAAAAGTGATGACTCTTCTTCGTCAGCGTCGACCTCCTCTGCTCTTGGCAGCAGTAGCTCTTCTTCAGACGCCTCGGGTTCGGAAGATGAACAGTTGCTTGTCAAGGAGGCGACTATCAAGTTCGATTGGAAGGAGACCATGATAGCAGCACAAGGGACGCAGAAGGACCCGGAGGATGACAACACCGGCAACCTCACGATTGCCACGCTCGAGCCCTATTCTAGGCTGGACGGCTGCAGTTCTCGCCAGGACTGTTACATTACCATGGTTGCGGATGAGATGACTATTGATCCTGCGAAGCTGTTGAAGGACGATCTGGAGACCATTCCAGTTTCGCCGGTGTCGCCCTTGGCTGGAGGCCGTCTCGCTCTGGGAATCGCTAACCCGGACATTTATGAGTCGTTTGCCTCATTCATTTGATTCGGGCCTATGGAGAATGATGTGGCCATGCAAACGTGATCAATCGTCCGGGAAGTAAAAACCTTGAAAGGTAGAGGATCAAAGCTCTGACTGACACATATCGTCTTTTTATATGTACGAAGATTCCATGGTCATGGATCAGTAGGGCATAGAATCTTGCTTAAAGAGAGTTCACCAAGTTAGCTTCCAGAATGACAACAATATTTGGATCTACCTTACCTGCGTCTTCTCATGTAGTAATCGGCAGTGGGCATCAGTGTTGTCCGAAACAGCAGATGGTGAGACTGAACACATTGTAGTCACCATGAATAGAGTTGCGCATCCCAGACTGTAGAGAGAACATAATAAGAATTGGTATCGCAAATTTTCAAGGCTCTTTCTTGTGGCCTTTATTCCGCCACTACCTGCAGCCAGTACCAACCGACACGTGCATTTAACGTGTCCTGATGTTTTCCTCGCTAAGCCCTCATGGCCGAGTCGTACTATAAAAGAAACGATAAAGAAGATTCATGTTGTTACAGATATCGTAAAAGAGCTGCTGTCGCACGCCGCGCCGTGACGAGGGGAGATTGCTCGCCATTCCCAGTGTATGGTGCACTCCAAGACGACGTCATGCAGTGAACGGTCTCCCTGCTCATCGCTTCCCAAGCGTCTATCACGGCTGAATGATACAGAACGCTTCGCTTTTCGTGTGTGTTTCGAACGCACCACCCTGCTGGAAGTGTCGCAAGGGAAGTTCGCCGTCGTCTATGCGCTGCGCTTGTTGCCGTCGCAGACACCGGGAGTGCTCGGCTTTTTCAAGCCATGGTTCGGTGGGCCCCAAGCCCGTGTGCGTGCCCAACAACAAATAATAGGAAGAAAATACCCAACAATACAGCGGCGTTAGGGATGGATTAGCGAAGACAATCCCCAACCCCCCCGGCATCACCCCGTGACATCCCTTGAATAAGCCGATTGCTGTCCTGCCCGTCAGCCCGGAGCGGGGCTAAAGAGATGCAAGACAGTGTGCGAAACGTGTGCGACGTCAAGTTTTTCGGTGCAGTTGTGGACTTAAGCCTCCTGAGCCTTGGCCTTCTTCTTCTGCTCTACCTTGAGCAGAAGGGCGCGGTTAATGTGGGGGAGGACACCACCGAAGGCGATAGTGGCGCGGATGAGGGTATCAAGCTCCTCATCTCCACGGATGGCAAGCTGAAGATGGCGGGGAGTGATACGCTTGACCTTCAGGTCCTTGGCAGCGTTCTATACAACGGAAATCATTGAGTTAGCCATAAAGCAGGTAAAACTTGGAAATGGGAGCCTCCTCGTCGCCAAGCAACATGGCCGTGCGGATGGGGTATGGATGACTTACACCCGCAAGTTCGAGGACTTCAGCAGTCAAATATTCCAGCACGGCAGTAACATAGACAGCAGCCTTGGCGCCAACACGCATCTTGTTTTGGGTGTTCTGCTTCAGGAAACGCTTGACACGACCGCAAGGGAACTAATTGGATTCAAGTCAGCATGGCGCATCAGACACACGGCAAACTCCAGAGGACGGAAATGCACGCCGCAGCTCCGCCTCGTTGTCAGAGTGAGAAATCCAAAGTTAGTGACCGGAATAAGGTCCGGGTGCGGGGCCAGGGCGAGAGAAGAATGCACAGAACAACGCGTCCATATCAAGCCGAAATAGTATCGCATACGGGGCGCAATGGTTTTTTTTTCTTTTCTTTTGAACAGCGGCGGGGTTGCGTGCGACCGACATGTGAGGCAGCGAGTTCGCCTTCTTCGTAGGTTGGCACTATGGGGTTGTCCGGAAATGTAGGGGGCTCGGTGGACGCGTTGTGGTGTACCGGCGTGATTCCATCGACATCTGACGACAGGGATGGCGGATGCGAGCAAAAAAAAAAAAGTTGGTTGATGAGGAGACGTCGATGATGCAGATCGGAGCAGGAATTGAAAGCGGACAGAGCCATGTTCGACGATAAAAACGTACCTGAAGACCAGCGCGAGCAGAATGGCTCTGCTGCTTCTTGGGACCTTCGACGCCCGAGGTCTTTCCACCCGAGCTCTTGCCGCCAGACGACTTGCCCTTTCCGCCAGCCATTGTGTGTGTTTGTTTGTTTGAAGGGATTGAACGGGGTGGGTTGGTTGTGCGCGGGATGGGCGGATGGACGTAGTGTCGAGAATAAAATCGGTGGCCGTGACGATGCTGGATGTTGATATTGACGGGGCAACGGCGCGGGATTTGCGTGGAACTGGTGGAAGTGGATGAAGCGGGGTTGGCGGATGGAAAAGTGGTGTTTTGGCCGGAAGGATGATCGCGACGAGGTTTGGTGTTGAAGTTGGCGCCAGGAGACGCTCGAAAATTCAGAAGGGCCGAAGATGCATGCCACTGATGGGCCCTTTGATGTTGTGTCCTTCCAGGTGATTGCCCGCCGTGTTTGAGCGCAACCGCGCCTGAGACATGCGTCCGTACAGGAGGGAAGGTGCCGACCTCCAAGCCAAGCGAAGGGAAGCTCGAGCTCAGTCAGCTAACAGCCAGCTCCCGTGGGTGCTTTGCTTGCCGTGTGTGCTGATTTGTCGCTGTTGCTGATTTTTTTTCTTTTTTTTTTTTTTCTCCTCCGCAGAGGGAGGGTACCTACCTAGGTATGTAGGTTAGCAGGTAGGTAGGTACCTTGAGGTAACCTTGGGTACGGCGAGCCAAGCAGACCACTTGACCAATTCGAAGGGAGCTCCGAGGCTTGGCAATATCATGAAGCTCCAGGCAAAGGCCCAGCAAGGCCTCGAGCCAGCCATGACGACCCAGTGAGGTCCATCTCGAGACAGATAGCCAAACCTCAACTCAGCCTCGCAAGGGCCCTGGCTGACACGGTCTTGCAGAGAACCTTGCCGACATCTCTGCAATGAACGGCCGAAGAAAAGGCCTCCCAGGACAAGTCCATGTGATGCAAGGGGAGTCGCATACCTGTTGCCCGACGTTGAGAGCACCTTCCTGGTTTGAAGCCATGCAGAGATCCGCGACGGGCAGTGTCCGGGCCGGCCACCCAGCTGGTTAAGGCGGGCCAAAAGCCGTCAAAGTCTTTGGCAATGAAGGCCTGAGCATCTTCACAGCAGATTTGCACGCTTTTCCGAGGCTGGCGTGGTGTTGCAGAGTGTCTTGAAATGTTGCTCAGATAGTGTGATTCGGAGCGTTGGGTGAGCCTTTGCCAATCTGCCGCTGGTTGTTGTGGTCCGTGACCTTACTCCAAAAACTCGTCGCAGCCGTGCCAAGCTTTCACGTTACGACATTACAACTGGCGCAGTGTCTGCCAGCTGTTTGCGCTTGAGCTGAGCTGTCTGTGTTCAGTGGTGACTGAGGTTCAATTCACAACGAAGAAGTCTGAACTGCTACATTTGTGTTTGCCACAAACTAGTATGTAAGCTTCCAATATGAACGCTTCAACGTAAATCGTGCAAAGATGCACACAGTACTTGTGTGCCTTCTTCACCACTTTTCAATTCCCTCTCGCAATCCTCGCCAACCTCTCAGCCTCACATCTCCGTCTTTCCACTCTCTGCAACACCTCCAGCCTATGACGGTCGTTGCTGATCGGGTCCTGATGCCCCGAAACCCGATCCGATACTTGGGTGGTAGTGTCGTGGATGTATCTGTTCATCATGGAGCCGTACTCTCTTCTTCTGGTGACACAAGATGCATTAGATAACTACTTTTGCCATTCCGCCTCTAAGATGGAAGCCTTTGGATTATGTTTGTAGCTCAACAGCCAACTACCAAAGGGATGCAGAAGTACGACGGGATTCTAGGATTGGGAAAAAGATAAAAAGAAACCATGACAAGACCCACTTCGGAGCTTGGGCCGGTGCGGATAGATCCCCGGCTCCCGATGTGGGGCCGACCGCCGCGCCATTTGAGCCATTGCCGCTACCGGTGTTGCCAGCACCGCCGCTGTAATATGTGCTCATGATGAAATGTACTATCCGACTGTCGTATATAGTGTACGCTATTCCAGCGGGAAACTCAGTAGGTAAAGATGATGGATAGAGGTAGCATGGTAAGTAAGGTGGTGTGCATAGGTCTACTTCGAGGAAAGAAAAAAAGACTTTGTTCTCAGGCAGCGAGGAAGAGCACTTTATATCTTCTTTACATGTAGGTGTTCATCCTCCAAGATGATCATCAAATCGTACTCGAAATCCCTGGAACTTATGGCAACGTGCCTGCTCTCACCAACCTCTGTGACCGTTGCTTGTCATGAGGCAGAACACTCGCCTCGATCTGGCTGTGAGCCCATGTTAATGCCCGCGCTGGGCGGGTTGAAAGCAGCAACAACCCAACAGAATAAGAACAAACCGAAGGGATTGAGGCGATGACGATTCAAGACAAAGTGAGTGAACTAAATAGAACTGATTCGTCAGATAGTCACATGGAAGCCATCGGCACTCGGGACTCCATGGTATACCGTGGTATAATAGGCGTGAAGGGTGAAGCTTCCGCGCGATGCCTAGCAGACAGCCCTAGGCTCCATTCCGCCCCTGTAACCAAAAACCGCTGCGGGTGGAGTGAAGCATTTGACATAATAGATAGGATAGAAGAGAAAATGCGCAGTGGAATCGAGGACTGGTGGGTGTCACCCCTGCTCAGAGCGAAGTGAAAGTCAGTGGTGGTCGTCCTGACTGTAGAGATTTGGAGACCGAAGGGGGGGGTGAAGTCGTAGGAAGCGCTTAGCCAGCCAGGCCGTTGGCGGAACACAACTTGGACCGATGCACAACGAACGTTCAAGGGAAAAGGCAGGACATCACCTGAAGAGTCCAAGATTGATCCGAGTCCTAGCATACACATCGTTCAGCAAGGACTTGATAGGAATGCGTTCGGGAGATTTGAACCACTTTAAGAGAAAAAAACAATCCGCAGCACAAGCGACAAAGTTATTTAGGACTTCGGCGTTTGGGCGGTCTGGGGCATACTGATAGGCGTACAGCGGACTGCTTGGGCTCACTGAGAACTGCTGATCAAATGTACACTGCAGTTACAATTGGTTGCTGCTAACAGCCTGACAAAATCAAGTCAGCTCTTCAAGAGCAACGTTGGACAGGCAGTTTCACTAGTGGATTGGGGAGACTCGGTCGAGTGTAGAGAGCAACCCGGAGTCTGCCAGGAGCCTCGTCTGGAAAACAAACATTTTGGGCAAGTCTTGTCACTTCTCATTTAAAAAAATAAAACAAAAATGAAAAAGGAAAATTCACGGGGTCATCCACTGTGTGGCTATGAGAATGTAAAATGGTAGTTTAAACAACAACGTTTGAACCAATCAAGCCGTTGCAATATTCAACAGCCTCAAAATGTTCGGTGAACCTCCGGCTTTTGCGCCGCACTGCCACATTGAAGGTTCCTGAGCTGCAAGGCCTCCAATTTGTTGTGAAATCTCAACCACTGATGTTCATTCGAACGCACTTGCCTGTATTCCTCGTCAAATCGACTCTTATGCATTTGGCTATGCCTTGGGATGGGTCCGGGTCGATGCGCCTCTCAAAGGGTCGTCTGTGTACCGATTAGAAAGAGTATTGTTCAGCTGGTCACTTTTCAAGGTGATTAAGTCGCTTCCTCTCTGGAGAGTAGGCGCCTTATGGTTCGCGCACAAACGCCCGAGTATGCTGTAGATGACTACCTCTAGCATAAAGCCTAGCGAGTGCAGCTCATTAAAGCAAACAAACCGAGACCGTACTTTTCCTCCCCAGTCCGAGAACAATAGGCCGCGTAGCCTGGCGTCCACCTGGTCATAACTGGGCCCCATATCGTCGGCAGATCTCAGAACTCTGCCAGCATGACTTCCCTCCTGAGAGGGCCCTCGGCAATGGCGCAAGGGGGACGCCTCAATCAACCATCATTTAAGGCAGGCACCTCTCCGGAACTTGCAGTCACAAACAAGCCGGCCCAAGACTCCTATCTTCAAGACCGATCCAACAAGCGAGTGGAATTTGACAACCTCGAAAGCAATACCAGCGAGAGGACCGAGTGGGAGGAGAGATACTTCAAACCACGGCGCTCAGATACGATTTTCTCGAGCTTCTCTAACGCCTCAACAGTAACCAACACCACCGAGCCAGACCCCTTAACTCCAGCCACTGCCTCCTTCGAAATAACGACCCTTTTCCAGTATCCTTCGTCGCCTTCGTTGATGGAATCCCGATGTGGCTCACCCGCTCCAATGACATTCCATGCTGGGACATATTTCAGATCGGAAGAAGGACTGGATAGTCATCCTGTGGATATGACGACAGCAAACTTCACTGATGAAGGCTCATCGTCGCCAAGGCATATTATCTCGCCGAACTTGAAGCCGAGACGAACATTCCGAGAACAGGACACGCTCAGAAAGAACCTGCAAGACCCAGCCCGACATCTGCCCAAGTGGAGGAGCAAAGACAGTATGAGCAAACATGCGGTGTTCCACGTCGGCCCGCCTTCTGACGCCACGCATCCTGAGAAGCCGTTGGTCAGCCAGATCACTGCAGGACTACGGGCGAAGTCCGCAGGTGATCCAAATATCGTCATGCCGGTCCGCCCAAAGGAGGAGTCTGAATCACTGGTACCAGCTGCAAAGACATTCCGCAATCTCAATTTGCCAGACCTCCAAGGCATGCAAATTGATGAAACGTCTGGAGACGTGAGGGCAGATGCGACACAAGAATCAGTTCCGCAAGATGTCGACACCCCCACGTCCGGGAACGGCTCATCCCCCGGAGGACTTTCGCCGTTGATTATGACTCCTGGTCTCGATGACCCAGAAGACATTGAGACTTCCCCGATCCACATCTTGGACGCTGGTCTCATCCAAGACGTCTGTGAACAGATTCTCAGGCAAGCGTTCGATACAGAGTACGACGACATTGCGCATACCGATGCAGCTGGTGAGGCATACAACACCGTTAGTTACTGCCTGGATGAGCTGTCAAGAATTCTTCCGGATGAGAGTCTGTTCAGCTCCGCCATATGCATCCAGGAGCTACCTCGCGGAGCGGGCCACATTGCGCCGGCCCAGCAAGAAGGAAGTGGCTCAAGCTCTGGAACGGGCCGTCGTGGGGGGGTGAACAATGGGTCGCAGAAGAGACCGAACGACGACGGTAACGGGTACCCCAGCAGAGGGCCTGAAGACGGTTCTGGTCCCGGAGATCGAGGTCTCGACGGGGGCGGTAACGATGGCGGGAACAAGAGAGCGCGTATAACGACCGAATTGGGAGATCAGGGGTTAAGCTGTCCGTTCCGCAAAAGAAATCCCGAGAGATTTAACATCCGTGACCATCAACAATGTGCTGTTCGTCCATTCGACAACATATATGAACTGAAGTAAGTCTCCTACCTGTCTTGATAGAATTTTGATGCTAATTTGTCGCTTGGGTAGACGCCATATCAAGAATCTCCATAAGCAGAAAACTGGCTCTGCCTACCATTGCCCTAGATGCAAAGAGGACATGCGGTCGCGTGAAGCAGTGCAAGCGCATCTTGCGGTTCCGAGAGACAGCATATGCAGCCCGCAAGAGGGAATTGCGAGTCGAAATCCGGAGGATGGCATCACGGATCGACATGAATTTTTGCTGAATAACCGGAAGGCAGATGGCAAGATTGATAACTGGCAAGATCTCTGGCACAACTTGTTCGGTTTAGACGAAGAGGTTCCGGATCCTGGTGAGTGCTTTCCCATAGTGGCCCTTCTGTGTTTGGGTTTGTGTTTTTCGTGCGGCCTGGTTTGCTGACAGTGGGAATGAAGATTTTGAGCCTCCAGTTGAGCGCGAAGAGTTTTACAGAGATTTGCAGAACGCTCGCCCACAACTCAAGGACGCCCTAACCTCGAACGAGGAGCTGAGACGATTCGACAACCAACGGTCCGAGGGACACCACGTGGAGCAACTGGTTGACATTTTTTACAGCCATATTGGCAAAGTCTTTGACAGCTCCCGTCGCCAGCCGATGAACATATCCCGCCGCCAGAGAGTTGGTAAACGCACCCCGAGGGTTGAACCCTCGAATTCGGCAAGCCCAATAAGCCCAGTGACCCAGAAACCGGCCCGAAGACTGGATCAACTCGCAGTTCCGAGGCAGATGGTCAGGAAACGGCTCATCAACGGCGACAGTAACGGAGGCAGCCTAGCTTCTTCTCTTGAGACGATTAACAGCGCCGAGTCGTGGGCGAATGTCGGCCAGGCAGAGATGGTGACGAGGGCAGCTCCAGGCATAGATAGTCCGGGGAGCGTGCAATCGCGCCAGGCACAGGTTGCGCAGACAGGTGTAGGTGTGGGCGTATCACCCTCGAGTTTTCGACAGGCTCGACAACATGATCTCTTTGTAACTCCGAGCCCAGTTACTCCCCCAACCCCCATCAACCCTCAGGTCGGCTTTGGTGCTTACGGCAATGAGGTTGTTAACCTGAGCCAGCCAGCTCAAGCTACACGGTTTCACCATGGTCGACAGGATCTGGTAGATTCGGGGATCGAGATGGTGGATTATTGTCGTCCTACCCAAGACATGAACGGATTGAGTGATAACCGTCGCGCCGAGGCCAGAGGAATGTTCGGACCGTCGCCACAGCCGCAGCAACACAGGCCTGCAGAGATGAACTTTGGGGGACCCCTACCTCAGCATCTGGCTTATCAGCAACAGCCAGGACATATGGAGCTGGCCAGCCCCGATGATGCTCAAATGATAATGGGAGGGATGTATGCGTCAACCTTTGACTGGAATTTAAATGGTGGTGGGATGGACCTGTTTCCCCAACAGTATCAGGGGAACCCTTCAAATCTTTGACAATGTCGAAGGTCCATTTGTGGGCACTGTCATCGACAGCGCTAAGTCAAGGTCTTGGATGTCATGTCAGGTGACTGGGATCGGATTTGCGATGCTGCTAGAGAAGCCGAAGGTCTGAACACGAGCAAACATGGTCCGGATTGTGGTTGTTTTTTTTTTTTTTATGGGTCGTTTTTCTTCGGCTGTTTTGTGGTCAGGTGGGAGAGGAAAGAGCGATATGTACGGGTGTCAGATAACATTGTGCTGTCTCTGTGCACGAACCAACCCCTCCTTCCGTTCGACCAACAAGTCCGATAAGAGAGATAGCCCCCGCCCCGCGCTATACAGGTAAAGATAACCGATAAGATAGATACTACATAGAGAGCTTTTCGAAGCCCAAGAATCTACTAACGTGGTTTTCATCCTTTATTCTAAACATCTGTTTCTTGAACTTGTCCGATATCTTCTGTGTCTAGAAGTGATTGTGAAGATTTTGTTCGTTCTACCATGATTGCCACTCGCTCACCAACGAAAGAATCATAGCCTGCTGCCCGATACGTAAACCCCCCACTACATACACCGAGACCTGTGGTCATCTAGGCTTTCATCAACATTCATTCTAGATGTACTCGCTTCTTCTCGTCCATCTCAAAGCAAGCCATGTAGTCCTCGACCTACGCACGTCCATATTTTAGAGTCATTGAGGGACTCTGGGGCGAAGACGATGTTCGAGTCTTCGCCAATGGTTACGATGGTGTCAATGGGGAGCTGGACCTTGCGGGTGACGAGGGCATCTTGGGTGACTGTGAGGGCAGAGGGGGCGATGGCAACGGCAGTTGACATGCCAACCAGAGCTGGCTGGGCCAGGGAATGGAAAGTGAAGCTGCATATGATAGTATTTAAGTCTCGGTAAAGAGGCGCGTCCTAAGGTTGGCTATGGTAGACAATGGCTGACGCATGCGGTTCCCTTCGGTGTGGGCTCTGTTCCCTGAAATGTGAAAGATGAGACTGAACGCGATGAGAGAATAGACAGAGTTTCTCTCTCGAAAGACCAAAAAAATTGGGAGCTATGTATATAGGCTTAGACCTCGAGTTCTACTAATACGACATCATCCCATCAAAGGCTCTCTGCGGGAAACGGCCCCCAAGCGAAGGGCCGCCGATAAAGCTCGCTTGATGCACGATAGCTAATAATCGGCCAAGGTGTATCAAACCATTTTCATTCGGTTAAGGATCGTTCGCTAGGGTAATTCACACGATAAATTGACAACCAACCCCTTCCTTTGATCCTTCATGTACTCGACGTTGGGGCTTACTCTCGATACTGAGATCGACTGCAACCTTTGTCAACTTGAGCAAACAAAGCAAAGGGCGGCTTGTACGGGAACATCAGACCCTCTTGGCTAGCATGAGTGTACAAGTGAAAAAGCATCTCATTCCATTGGAGGAAAATGATAATTCAAGACGATCTTTATCATGGTTCAAGAGTTGAGCTTGTGCTGAATGATGTTCTTCCCAGGTTGTCCCAGGTTGTGTCAGACCAGCTGAAGGTCAGCCAGTGGAACAGGGAGCGGGGACGTTGGCAGGTCACTCGTGTGTTTCTGGAATTGGAAACAGTTAGGTTTGGACAGTACATCTTTCTTGCGCGCACACTCCAACAGCATCAGCCAATTAAGTACGAGAGAATAAATTCACCCCACATTGTCCAGGTACTGCACTAACACTTACATGCACTTTGGGGGCCGCCTGGCCATGTCACGCAACATTGCCGCTCCCGCGTCACCCACCCAACTGTTCCAACCAAAACATCGTGAAAGAAAACACAACAATCCAGCCCCAAATTGAACAACACTGCGCCACGCGTATGTCGAGGGCGCAATTCTGATTTCAACGACGGGCAGGATGTCTGCTCACACCCTAAAGCTATCCGATCTTCGGTCTCGGTGATACTTCGATTCCGTCTTCTCGATGGCATACTCGCTGATTCCGCTGTCTTTCTTGCCCGAGGGACTTGAATGGACTTCGTCAAGCTCTGGTTTCGTCCTTCGCTTGATATCGCCAAAGATCTCGCTCATGTCTTCAAGCGATTTTCCTAGCAAGGAACCGGGGGACCATGATCAGCCGTGTCTACCAACATTGAGAACGAAGGTTTTCTTCTTACCTCTTGTTTCTGGATACACAAGTGCAAACACCATCGCACACAGCGCGTTGGTTAGGACAAAAAAAATCTGGTGTGCCGTCAGCCAACTCGCCCAGTCGTTTGCCTCGCCCAATTCTGGTTCGTACGTAATATTTCCAGCCTACTGCCGCCAACGCAATGGGCGAACATTGGGTTATAACCAAGCTGATGGAATAATGCAGGACGTGGATAACGGCATTTGCCTTGCCTCTCAACTCGGTGGTGAAGACCTCGGGCCTAAGGGTACTTCAAGTCAGCCATGCACGATCATCGTCGGACAGGACTTTATGTACGGAATTATTCAAGTCATCGGGCCCAGAAGAGCCGAGTAGTTGGCCGATACAACAAAGACACAGGCAATGACGCTGCCTCATCTGTTGGAAACCCCGGCCGAGCCGGAAAGACGGCAGCAATGATCGTGATGATCAGGTAACAGAGTGACAACAGCGAAGCGCTGAAAACCAGAATCTTCTTTCGACCGCTACGGTCCACAAAGAGCAGAGACACCAGGCACGCCACCGGAGCCACCGATCCATACAGCCCGCTGATGAGAAGCTGCTGATCCTGGTTATACTGCAGTGTTGCATGGATGGCTGGTTGCAAATATTGGATAAAGCTGATGCCGCTCAACATCGCAGCCGCCCACACAAAGGATCCGACAAAAAGACGTTTCCTGAAGGCCGGCGCCTTGAGGAGCTCTGCCCAGGAAAGACAGCCTCGAGCTTGCAGCTCGATTTCAATATTGGCTTGTAAACGCCTGAACTCCTCTCTGCACCACTCATCGTTGGAGCCATTGTGGTGATAGCTGCGAAAGGCTTTCTCGGCTTCTGCATGACGGTTTTTCAGGCAAAGCCATCTTGGCGACTCACTGATAAAAAGGACTCCAACCCCAAGGGCGAGGGCAGGGATGCTCTGGACGGCGAAACCGAGCCTCCACTGGTTGGGGTTATGCCACTTGCCTTCCCCTACTCCTGTCCAAAGCGCGACAAAGAAGCCCCAAGCACACACTACATAGAGTACGAAGGTCAGTAACTCTCAGCCAGCTTTTGGGATGCGGGCGACTCAACTCATCTGGGTAACTGCGTTGATTCTTGCTCTCTCATGGGTCTAAAGAAGACTTGGTCAGAAAGGGCCATTCCTGCGTCGTCTTGAAAGTCGTCTTGAAAACCATAGAGGACCTCACGCACCTTTGCAATCTCCGCTCCAAACACCGGTGCAACCCCGGTGATTGTGCCAACGGCATATCCAACAAGTATGCGACCGATGATGAGCATAGCAACATGTGCCGCACCGGTCATCAGCGCACCCCCGAGGACCCCAAAAGCGCACCCGAACGCAATCGCTTTCCGTCTTCCAAGTCTGTCACTGGTTATACCGACAGAAGCACTTCCCAACCATGCTATAGTTGGCGTAGAATCAGCTCACTGTACCCCCACCACCGGTTAAGAATTGTGACCCAGTGAGGACTTACCACCTGCCTGGTAGACTGACACAATAGCTCCTCGGATAGGTGCATCGGGATTCTCAAAGTATTCCAGGAATGAGTTCAGAGCGAGACTTGGAGTGATGATACCCGAGTCACTGTCATCAAGTTCGGGTCAACTCACGTGGCATATTCCGAGCCTTGATTAAGATGCAAGCTACTCACAAGCCGTAAAGAAAACCGCCGAGTCCTAGGAAGATCGAAGTCAAGAATGTTTTTGTGAGCCATGTTTCTGTGATCTTGCCTCCCATGGTTCACATTTGGCAATACTGCTTGGGTCAAAAAGTCACTGAAACTGAGAGAAGAGGAACGCTGTTGTCAATCAGAAGATACCTTAAACCGTAAGCCGCAATACTATATTCTCACTGTTGCATTTTGATGTTACATGGACACGATCTCTCAGTGACTTGGGGAGGTTAGGTCTGCCGAACTGCCGGTGTCGACTGAGCGGGAGGCATTCAGCCAACAACGAACCCCTCACGCACCTCTCTTCCAACACCCTGAATTCAGCCTAATGTGAGGAGAACCAATCAAGCAAGTAACACAATGGTATAGGTTGCCGCGTCTCATCAACCAAGTACGAGATTCCGACGGCGAGTTCCAACACCTCATGGTGGTGGCCAGAATCCTTCCCCAACCAAGGCATAGGAAAGATCAACCTCCCACGATGCGTCTCCAAGATATCATACGATGAAACCTATTATTCAAGTGGAAGAGGGCATGGTAAAGATAATCGGCACTGTTATTCTTGGTTTGGTCCTTGCCATAGCCTTGTAATTATTCGGGCTCTCCTTCCCAGCGGTAGGATCAAGCACTTCACTCGACCTAGTACACTACTTACTAACTCTCATCCAAGTATCTCAGTTACGGCTGCGATGGAGACCTATTGCTGTGTCTGACGGTACACCTCATGCTAGTATTGCGGATGATGCATATAGGGACATTTTTATACCGAAGGGGAGCACGGTTATTGCACCTGTTTGGAGTAGTGAGTGCCCAAGTTCTTCTTCAGTTTTCGCTTTTTCCATCTGCCTGACTCTCGCTCGTTTTCTCTCTGCTTAATAATGTCCTTGTGGAATTTACTTCTGTTGATGAGGGGGTGTGGGTGATCCATACTTGTTGGGAGGGTTTGCTATGTCCATCATCACACTTTACTTCATGATCGCATTTGCTGACATGTTGTTCCGGTTCTTTCGAACCAGAATGACTTCTATGACCCTCACAGGCTCTCACCTGAACCTTCTCTCGAGCACCGCAAATATCCGGGTCTGACTGGCCACAGCGCCTTCGGATGGGGTCGTCGTACCTGTCCCGGCATGCATTGAGGACATCCTTCAATTCTTTTTTCCGGCATCGCGCGAACACTGTGGGAGGTTGATGATTTTCCAGCGAAGAATAACGTGGTGCAGATATTGAAGTTGATATGTGGGTGGATTTGTCTCTGAGTTCCGTCCCTGTTTAGTTACAATATGTGTGATACTGACATCCTGTTTCACTCGCAGTTTTGCGTTTGCCGATGGTCTCAACTCAAGTCCCTTGCCGTTTGAGTGCTTTTTTACAGCTCGCTCACCTAAGCACCAGAAACTCACTGGGTGGGAGTTTGAAGATTCACTGCAGCACTTGAGAATATATGCGGTCGGACATAATGAGTGAAAAGTGGAGGACATCCTAAGCTACATATGTGTGCTTTTGGCGTCGATTTTCATCTCGCTTGTACCGCTGTCATAACGCTAAAAGAATGAGAGGCCTTCAAACCAAAAGCCATAACTTGTTTTCTAGCCCACCTTACTATCAATCAGTGACAACTTCCTTACGGCAAGTCATCATCACCATATTTCTCCGAACTATCAGACCTGTCTTCCTAACCTCAGCATCTAGACATGTGAAATAAAGCGAGATATATGCGGTTCCGGTATAGGTTACCCATACAAGAGGACAACTCCGGTGATATCTAATGATAACCGTAACTCCAGGGATATGCTTCAAACGAAAAGAAAGCGCTCCAGCATTTGTGGTAAGAAACGAAGCGGTGCAATGCGAGAGGGCCTAATGTTGATTCAGGCTCTGACAGCCGGAACTGTTGTCATCACTAGAGGGTGTTGAGTATATCTTGCTTCCCATGGAGTGGCAGTGTGACTGAGTATCGGTCTCGTTTCAGCTAACATAACTATTAGACATATAAGCAACAACAAGCGTTGATTCAACAATTTAACACTTACCTGGATTGTGTACTGCGATGTTTGGAGTCGCCTCTGAAGCTCCTGTTTTAGCTCGTCCGCAGTTACAGCACAAGCTGGTATCTCAAGAATGGTTCCCCCTCCTTCTGCAGCGGCGTGATACTTTGCTTGTCCCATAACGGCGGAGAGCTTCCCAGTTGTGCGATATAAGGCCATGATTACGGACACGGGGATTTAGTCGTCTGTCTCTTGTGAATCCTCGCAAGGTCTTGAGTGTTGTCTGTGCTCGTATTATGGCACCTTCTGATAGAGGTAGGCTGATAGGAATGACAACAACAATTGCTTATGGTCGAACAAATTGTTGAATGGCTTAATGCCCTTTTTCATCGTCAAGAATAATGTTCCTTACTGACCTGATACAACTACTAGTTTCCTTGATCACGTTAATCGGCCTCTGGTTTTCATCACATTGTCCGGAGAATTTCGCCCCCTGATCAGCCTCAGCCAGCTTATGTTTCAGCTCCCGCTCACAATAGTCGCATCTGCGGTAAAGCAATTGGGAGGTAAAAAATGTAGGTGGTCTTACGCCCTAAGTTAGGGAAGCAGGTAGGACAGTGGATGTGTGAATTCTGCAGGGTACATACCTCTACCGCCGCCCTGTGGCAGTGCGCGCATGGACAGCACTGTTAGGAAACTCAAAGTGAGCCATGGATTGGTGTGGCATGGGCGAGCGCGGGCTGCAACGGTGTGAAGCCTCGTAGATTACGCCGGCTGAGGCCGGTTGTCTGAATTCTCTTGAGTGGCACTCCACTTCTTGAATCAGAAGCCATGCTGTGCACCTGAAACAAGGAACAGGATTGGGAGGCACTATCTTTCATCGAATTTGTAGGCGGCGGCAGAGCCTTACGAGAGATTGATAGGTGGTACAAACTGAGCTAGTTGTGGGCTTGTGGCAGTGTAAGTAGTACATCTAGCTGCGTGGAGTGTTGCCGCTAACACATTATCGATCTCATGCCATTTTCATGTGTGAGGTGGCGCAGCATGGGTACTTCCCACTTTAACTCGAGTTAATACCTTAGTAGGTATGACCTTCCTCTGTGAGCAAAAAGTCTTGAGCTGTTGGAAAAATGAAAAGACCTTTGCCTCGAAAGGGCGACCAGAGGCAATTTTGGAAATTTGAACATTTTCTCTTCCAGATGTGCTAACCTTGATGGTTGATTCCGTAGAGGACGACTATACTCATTCTAATCTCGACCTCCTTTTTTTTTCTTCCTTTTTTTCGTGTTTGTTCGTACCTCTTAAGGATTTTGTCCTTAAAGCGCACTGTGGTTTGTGGAGCGGCTCATTCATCCCCATGATTGAGGTTGGTATACATGACGAATTCGAAGTAAGGAGCGAAAATGAAGTGAAGGGTAATCACTAACCAAAGACACTCTTTATAGGCGCCAGGTCGAGGGCATTCACTACGCTCGGAGTTTCGCTGCTGTCATTGCACCTGTCCAATCTACTTCCACCATCGGTCTCAATCCGGATGGTGTAAGTGGACTTGCAATAAATCTTCACGCGGGATGGGTGCTACACAACAACTCGCATTAAAGAAAAAGTATAGGTTTTCGGAGCAAAGTAAGGCTGGCGAGAGGCCCCCATTCTTTACCATAGGAAGGTCAGAAGAAGGCTCCGCGCGCCACAATGTTACTTTGAAGACCGGCGAAGGGCGGTTTATACTCAAAAGTCGTTTCGCGCATTGCTAACATCCCCCATTCCGTTCCCTTTCTCGGTGTGAAATAGGGAGACGCGGCATAAAATCCTTTAGATGGATAGGTAACCGTCCCTTAAGTGCGCACCAAAGGCGCAGCCAAGGGGATGTATCAATGACCTCTGGTAACAGACAAAACCCATTGCCAATTACGTCCCAGGCCTCAAGGCATCCATTTCTTGATACTCAGCCGCATCCACACACATAAGGCTCTGAATGCCTTGCGATATCGATGCGAAGAGATATGGACTCCTCATATCACACCCACCGCCTTTATTTTCAGTTCTCAGATGGGTCGCGGGCCATTGCACATCCTGCTGCTAACTAACTGTACTTATTTACCCTGCCCAACCCACCATACGTCCGTCTATTGTGCAATGGAGTGAAACGGAACGATGGGGATCGATATTCAAGCACTTGACGAGTCACCGCGTTGGTTAAATCATAGCACCTTATGTATTCACTATCTGCTTTTGTTATAGTACCACTCATTCTTCACCTTGTCATCCCCCATTTGATACCTCTTTCGTCGTCGTGCCCAGTTTCGGAGCTAACGACGCCTTTCGCATATCCTTCTGTTCTGTCCACGAACTGCTTTCGGTTTGAGTCAGTGTCTGCTGAAGATTTCCAAGCCCACCACCAACATCTTTCCTGCACAACCTAAGGTCTGTTACTTTGACACAGCACATACTTCTTGCCACCATACAACCTCTACGATGGCTCCAAGAGTCAAAACAATCGGGCTTGCCGATCCGCGTGTCGACAAATGCTCCGATCGTGGTAACCACTACTACGACGATGATCATCCTATTGAAAGACCGAACACCGACATTGTACCCCAAGATAGTGGTCCAGACATATTCGACATTATTCGTGAAGAACTTGAAACCCAGGAAGTCGAAAAAGGAAAAGGCTTCTTTATTCCGCGAAGCTCGCTCCAAGAGATATTCACTCCCGGGCGTCTCCTCGCAGCCATACAACAACTGTGGAAGGATGTCCCAGAAGAAGATCACCAGCGACTTTGTATCCGTGTTCTCCACGAAGTTCGTTGCTGGAAGGTCTTTGTCTTGTTTATTTATACACAACAACATGAGTTACTTCCTGCACTTTGGAAGAATGAAAGTGGCACGGATAACCTGAGGCTGTCAGATCAATGCCTACCCTTGATCTCGATCACCCCTGACGGCAAGATTGCATGTCAGAACACGACTCATTCTCATCAGCTTCCTGGTTGTAAGACCAGAAAGATATCAGGGAAAGATTCCAAGCACATGGTACTGGCCAGTTACGCATTCAATGCCGTTTACTTTAAACTTCCGACAAAAGGCAAAAAGGTTCATGTGCACTACAGACTCGGTCCAAAAGACGTCCTGCCATACACAATCGACTCCCTTCCATTCGACAAGAGCTTAGGCAATGAGGGGCCTGGCTCAGCTGGGCGAACAAGCAACAGTGGCAATCCTAGATCTGACATGGACCAGGATGGCAATCTTCACGGAGGGTTTGGCGAAGTGACGAGAATTACCATTGATCGAAGTCACTTCAATTTTGGTCACCATGGAGTAAGTTGCATTGAGCACTTCCATTTTCTACCCCTTCGTTGGTGTCGGCATTTCCTCTTTTGGGCAGGTGCTAACCCGTCTTCCAGTCTCATGACGGCAATAACAAAGAAGTGACCTTCGCCCTCAAGAGGCTACACGCGTCCGATAAAGAGGCTTTCGACAAGGAATTGGCATCCCTAATCACCGTCAAGACCCAGAAAAGCACGCACCTCATCAAGCTGCTCACCACATTTTCCGTCGTTGAAGAAGATGGCGGAAGTGAAGTGTTCTACCTGCTCTTCCCCTGGGCAGAGGGGAACCTGTGGAAATACTGGAAAGTTCACCAGCCCAGTAACCAACAGGAACGCCTAACCTCCGCTCTGTGGATGGCTCAACAATGCCACCAACTCGCTCGTGCTCTGCTGTGCGTCCACAATGAGAGAGAACAAACGCTGAAATTGTACGAATTTCCGGCCGGAAAAGACGAGCTATACGGACGTCACGGCGATATCAAAGCTGAAAATGTTCTTTATTTTGAAGCTGACGGCATGCTTGTACTTTCTGACTTTGGGCTTGGTCGCCTTCACACCAAATATTCTCGGTCCAATGCTGACCCCAAAGCTCTCGAGAAATCAGCAACCTATCGAGCGCCCGAGTTCGACCTCGCTAGAGGTCGTATATCTCGAGCGTCCGATGTCTTTTCGTTAGGGTGCATGTTCCTCGAGTTCGTTACATGGCAAATTATGGGATATGACGCTGTATACAACGAGTTTCCCAATCACCGCATGGAAGAGGACATCACATATGGTTTCGAATCGGATATTTTCTTCAAGATTGAGGGCGAAACCGCTATCATCAAGCCCAAGGTGCACGAGTGGATGGTGCAGCTCAAGCAACACGAGAACGCATCCGAGTACACTAAGCAGTTTCTCGAAGTCATTGAGGAGATGCTCAGCCCATATCCGAAGGATCGAATCAATGTTGTGAAGCTCGAAAGAAAGCTTGATCTTATCAGAAAAACGTGTGAGAACGATATAAGCTACTATGGCGGTGAGGCTCAGTCAAGAAGTTATGTCTTCCAATGATCGAACTACCATGGGCGCCCTACTAACACTTGTACAGCTCTACATTCGTGAGGTCTCAGCCGCAAAGCCACGGCTGGAACGTTTGGAAAGGCATTGTATTTTGCTCATCCTATCTATGGCTATCAGAATCTCGGGCAATGAGTGCCTGGTTAGCCTGTAAGGCGTTCTGGAGCTCAATCACGCCGCACCGGAATCGCAGCAGCTGGGTGGGCACATCCAAGTAAAGCGGTTGGGTGATTTTTGAGAGGCTAGTGGCAACCGCCTGTTTTTCCCTTATTTTCATCATACGTTTCCCACTACTGATCTTTACACCATTCTGGATCGTGGGAGGTAACATGTATGGTCATACCTTCTCTGGCAAAACGCCTTGTATTTGTGTTGGCTGCTGTTTTCCCTTCAAAACCGCTTGCGTTCCATGCTCTTTTTTCTTTCCTTTTTTTTTTCTTCTTTTTTTTTCTTTTTTTCTTTTTTTCCCCTTGCATCTCGTTCCTAGATTGCCTGTTGAACCTCGACACCCCCAAAATTGCTAGTAGTGCAAATAGACTGAGTTTTCAAGCTCATCCATTTCAATCTGTACGCGCAATCCATAGTGAATTAGCATCTAAATTCCAAAGATTTCGTTCTGTCCAGTAAGGTCGCAGTTTTGCACCAACATTGCTCATTTCTTTGGGAATAGTCACAATCCACCGATCCGCCCTGACCTGTTCCGGTTCACATGTAAGTAAAGGTTTAAACAGAATCTAGACCAATCGGTTACGAAGTAAGGTCCGGTACGTACTTTGATCCTATAGTTCCCCTCCCCATACATCGCAGTCAAAGCCTGCTTGAGCTTGAGAGGATCCCGATACTTCTTTCGCAGGACATGATCATACCACTGGACTGGCGCAGGCGGAGCCTGATTCAGGCTGACCGCTGTAGATGAGGGAAGCATGGTGCACGAACGTTGTGGCTGGTGAGGTGTTCGGTAGTGGTGATAGAGATCAACCTATCTTGATGTAGGCCTAACTGCAGACACGTTCTATTCTTTTAATCAGACTGGATTGACAACTGTGTTGTTAGAAGTCAGATTTAACGGTTATTGGAGGAAATCAGCCAACAGGGCTTGTAACATGATCCCGATGCCAAAGGTGTGAAATAGGGCAAAGGCAGAAAACTACCTAAACAACCTAAGCTTACGGCCGAGAAGGAAAACACTTCAGGTCACACAACATATTTTGTTACGAGCGGACGGTTCTTTGCAGGTTTTGTTCATCAAGAAATACAACCAGTCCCAGTTGGAGAAAAGTTTGGGGGTCATAAGAGAAGCAACGTGGAGTATACCGAAGGAGTAAGGCCGTGGTAGTGCAAAAATGCTACCACCCCGAATACCTCTTACCACCAACAGGCACTAGCAGAATTCCCCGGGAATTACACAACATGATGCTTCGCCACAATTTTCGGCTGATAAGGAATCAATTGGTTGGCTGGAGACTTTCCATGTCAGCTTGCATAGAACACGTGCGGAGATCGTGGCGAGGCAGAGACGGCAGAGGGAAATTCTCTCCAATCCCTCTCACTCACCGAGTACGTGTTACATTGACAGACCGAATACAGCATCTCAGAACCTCAAGTGTGCCTGAAAGTCAGCCTCCTTTAACGTTAAGTAATAATTTACAATACCTCTCGCAGGATCGCGAGACGCCCAGCGCTTTTGACGGAGGCTTTAGCTTAACCTGCTTCAATAATCACCCGGAGACGTCGCGACCCTTGTCAGGTTCGTCCTTCGTCACAAGATCCTCAGGCAAACACCAGCGCCATCTCAGGTCTCTCGCTCAACATCGCCGCTCATAGTTCGGTTGTGTGATTATTGGAAGAAGATAGTTGTCTGTGACGAAGATGGATTACGACCGTACTTCGCTTGAGTGGTCCGAACGCGACTTTTCCAACTTCACTTGCCAATTTCCAGACGAAAAGACAACGATAGTGACGAAACTCGCGAATGAAGAAGCAAGTAGTTTTAGGACCGCTTATTTCGAGATAGGGCAGTCGAAGGACTATTGCTGATCAGTTCCGATGATTTATAACAGGGACCTCCAACACTCGAAGTCAAAACACTGAGCACTAATGAAGAATGGGAGACCTGGCTCAAGAACGTAAATGACCTCTATACAGATTGAAAATCGAATGTGATGAGATTTGCATTACATGATGGATGAGCTAACATTTCATTCTGGTTAGGCTGTCCTGGACTTTCTTCCCTCGTCCGGCCACCCGTGTTCTGGCATATGTGCTGTGTAAGGAAATAAGCACTTTTCTTTGACTCCACCTTTCATTTCTCTGTGTAAGCCCTCTTTGAAGATATCAAAGGTTCATAATGAGCGTCTCTTGTTGACGTTATAATGCAACAGAATCTTTGGTAGCGTCGAGCCTATCTTTGACGATGATGAAGATGGAGCAAACACACAGTCACCGGTATCCTATCTCCCATTTAACAGCGATGACATCCTCTCACAACTCGTGCACGAGTTTCATCTCCACCCAAGGATCACTCGGACGATTAGTAGATTGAGCTGCTACTTCTCTGCTCAGCGCCATTACTCTGACGATGATGATCTTCCAAGGGGGGGCAAGGAGAGAAGACCGATGATAAGTACGGCGCAATCAGTCCTTGCATACTAGAGGTAGAAACCAAAGATAACTGGACTAACCTTTCCTCGCTTCAAACAGCATGCACAGCGCGAACTTCGTCGACATTGCCGAACGACATGGCTTTGTCGACGACGTACTTTACCGAAATAGATCTCAATCTTGCAGTGTTCTACGGATGCAATGAAAGACAAAAAGAAGACATATCAAGAAGAATCAGGTCGTGTGACCTCAAGCACAACCACCCATTACTCCTGCCCGGCTTGTTCTTTGAACTCGAACGTATACGTCTAGTCGATCAGGTAGAGAATCTTCTGGACAACTTCGAACTTCGGAACAACTATGAGTACGGCCAGTTAGAGAAGGTCGGCGGCGCAAGAGGCCTTGATCTAGACATGGACAAAAAACGAATGACAGATGTGCTGAAGTCGACGTACAGATCCAGGGAGTTGGTAAGCTTGATAATGGCCGTAAAGAGACAACTGAAGAAGTTTGAGACGGCGATGGACATGGTGGAAACCAGCGTCAAGTCATCACCTTCATCTGCCTTCTCTTCGGGCTGTCTGACACGCACCCCTTCAGCAACCTTGTCATCGGCACCTGGCTCACGAACAATGTCCCGCTCCACAACGCTAGAGGTGAATAGCGAGGAAAACTACACGCAGCAGGGGCTGCCTCGTCTTTCTGGCGTATCGGGCTATTTACGGCTTCAAAGAGCTGGAAGGATGATTCGGGAAAGGCTGCAGGATATCATGTTCGAATTTGATGATAAGATCAACGATTGCCATCTCGTGAAAGACAACATGTCACTGACAATGCAAACGGTACGAATGCCAGATGAAGGACACTCAAGTGTCTACACACCAAAGAAGCTGACAGATGATATCACACGTTTTTCTAGGTCTGGAGCTTCTTCTCACTTCAAGACAATCAGACCAATCTGAAGCTGTCGAGACTCAACACGAAGCTAGCACACGCAAACACCGGTCTCTCAGAGGAGATGAAGAAAGACAGCTCGCAGATGCGATCGATTGCTTTGCTGACAATGGTCTTCCTGCCCATGTCAACTGTTGCGGTATGTCACGACCCGCGCTTTTCCCTGCAGAATAGTATTCAGCACTTTCCAAGGAATTGTAAAGGAAGACACATTGCTCAAACAACTTATACTCACTCTCCAGACCATCTTCTCAACCAATTTCTTCTCGTGGGATGCCGAGGAAGGCCAAAGCGTCGTGTCCAAGTACTTCTGGGTATTTATCGTCGTTGCCATTGCTCTCACATGCATCGTCGTCGGGGCATGGTACACGGCCACCTGTGCGAAGGATCGCAAGGGCCATCGTTATTGCTGCATACGCTTGCCATTTGGTGCCTTGTTCGGCAGAAAAGCTGGATCGACCGACGACGACTTCCAACCCCACAGAAAATCGAGCAGAAGGGTCTCCGAGGACGAAGAGAGGGGGATTTCACTTGATCTTTAAGGGAGGAAGGAATGGACTCCCCTAGGGGCGTGCCATAGCGTACTCAATGCTAGGGAAAGTACGATGCGATGCGATGCGATGCGATGCAGATGTTAACGAAAACTGAAGGGGCAGCTGCATGTGAGTATCCCCACATAAGTCAAGGGGCCTCTTTCTCTCCGGGAAGGCATGATGATGATGATGATCGCGGGCAGGCAAGCAAGGGCGGGAGATTTTTACACCATCTACCAAGTAGTTCTGTTTCAACGTGCAAAAACCCATGGTCAATTCGGACCTTGATGTCACACCTGGTTTGAGTGAGAATGACGAGTGTATCCCAGAATCGATCCACATCAGTAACTGCATGCGCTCAGGTCCAAGTCTGACGCCCCCATGCGTTCCTCTTTCCCCTTTCCTCCAGTCTCCATGTCTATCCTGGAGGATGCAATCAACAAACCCGGTAAAAGAAGAGGAGAAAGAATATCTCCGGCAAAATCACCCTTCGCGTATCTGATGCATTCGATAAGGACGGTAGTGGTGGGGTGGGTTGGGCTGGTGGCCTAACTTCGAGACTCCCTACCTACCTACCTAGGTAGTCACATCTTCAATCTAAAAATTGTATCCTGCAATCTCGACATCGACATTGACAGCCCGGGGTCATCATTAGGTCAGCGAGCCCAAGAGTTTCAGTAGATTGTGGTAACAATCACATTACAGGGACTTATGAGCAGGCATGACCTTTTTTTACGAGTTTGGCAGACATCGTGGAGTAACCGGTGGCACCTGTTATGTATAGCAATATATAGGCCGTGGCCACTATTTATCCGGTTGGAGGCTCAAATTCACCCATTTCAGACCTCCCCCGTTCGGTCTGTCTGTATGTTTCACAACCACAAGATAAGATAAACCAACACAAAACATGATGAAAAAAAATAAAAAAAAATATATCCTGGTCAGTCTCATGGGTTTACTTGTCAAGGATGTCTGTTCCGTTGCTGTCAACTGTTTTGGCTTGGCCGTCTCTTTCCATCATAACGCACGGCGGCCGACACGAAAATAGAGGCAAACCAAACCACCCCTATCACTCAAATAAGGCAGATAACAAAAACAGACCTACCTTATGCAACATATCTAGTCGCCCGGAGGAACGGCAACTGTCGATGAATTCGGCAGTGTCTAATAACTTCCGGAACATATGTAGACCAATCACTTATATTATACCCCAATGTGAACAAGACCTTCGGCCTTAAATCCGTAGCATCGGCAGTTAGTAACTTGCCGGCGAGCCTGAACTAGTCATGTGTCTTGGTGGGAAGGGAACACTCGTCAACTTGGTTACGGCTGACCACGATTCGTTCATGGTGTTGTGTCGTGTTGTGGTATTGAGGGAGGGAAGCCGGCTGGTGGGAAAAAATGAGAGGAGATCAGAGTAAAGGGGGTGAAAGGCGATTAGTGCTTAGGTATGTATAAGTGTGTCGTGCGACATCACGATCCTTCCCTCGTCGTCTTTGTCTTCCCCTTTCGTCTTAAATTTTTTTTCTTGATACACTTGTCTTCAGCAGCAGCAGCAGCAGCAGCAGCAGCAGCAAATCCAGTCCCTCTTTCTAGACCTATTTGTTATCCATCAACAACAGTCACTCTCCGCCACCGACAAGCTAATCCGCCCCGAGCCGACCGACTTGCAGGTTGTATTGAAGAACAGAAAACATAAAGAAGAAGACGAACGAGAAAGACAAGATGCAGTCGTGGGCGACCCTTGCCGCCGCCGTGACCCTGCTGGCAAACGGGGCCGTCGCGCAAAACATGTTGCGCTTCGCCTGCTCGCAGCTGGTCGTCGACCGCGTCGACCCTCTCGTCAACCCGGGCGTCCGCTACACGCCCCATCTCCACCAAATCGTTGGCGGTAACTCATTCAACCTGACTATGGACCCGGACTCGCACGATCTAGCCGGCCAGTCGACCTGCACGTCGTGCAGCTTCGCGCAGGATCTGTCCAACTACTGGACGGCTGTCATGTTCTTCAAGGCCAAGAATGGCAGCTATCACCGCGTGCCTCAGGTCGGTAACGGCGGTCCGCAGGGCAAGCTTGTCAATAATGGTGGTCTTGATATATATTATATCCCGAGCGGGAAGGTCACCGCTTTCAGGCCGGTGAGTGACTGTCCCCAATACCCACACTTTTTCACCATTATGGACTTCCCTGAGTTGTTAACAACAACCGCTAGGGCTTCCGCATGCTCGCCGGCAACGCCGCCAACACCGACCCCAAGAAGGTTTCTTCCGGCAACATCTGCCACCGTTGCTGGACCTCGACAAACGAGGGTAACTTTGTCGGCGGCGCCCCTTGCACCGGTTCCGACACCGTCGATATTCCTCAAGATACCAACTGCAAGATGATTCGCCAGACAATCATTTTTCCAACGTATGTTTTTTTTTTTTTTTTTTTCCCCTCTGTTTTCTCCCCATCCCAGTGTTCACCACCGAACTGAAATAACGACTTGGTCAAAACACAGCTGCTGGGACGGCAAGAACCTCGACTCTCCCGACCACAAGTCGCATGTCGCCTATGGCGGCGGTTCCGGTGCCAATGGTGGAGGCTCCTGCCCTTCCACGCACCCCGTCAAGCTACCGCAGATCATGTACGAGCTCATGTGGAATGTGACGAGCTTTGCCGACAAGAGCATGTGGCCTGAGTCGGGTCCTGCATTTGTGTACAGCATGAATCTTGGGTGAGTGTTTCCGTCCATC